AGAGAGAGAGAGAGAGAGAGAGAGAGAGAGACTTACCGAGAAATCACCACAATTCAGACCATCATCATTGTTATTAACAGGGCGAGTTTTGTCATACCTCCAAGAACTTGCTCTACTTATCGGAGAATCAAGTATGGCATGACCAAGTACATTATTAGCTATTATGTGACTATGTAGAATTATATTAGATATTAGTAGGTAACGCATTCTTATAATAAAGTGCTTTAAAGAGATTGTTTAAAATTAATTTTAAAATGAGTATACTGTATTATTAGTATACTGATGCAAAAACGTAAACGTTATTAAAGTATTTGTCAGTTAAAATAATTTGTTTAATAAAAAATCAATACTAGTAACTTGACTACTAGTAGAATGTAGCTTTACTTTGAATTCAATAAAAATTTGTACATCTACATTTTGTACATTGTCTATCCGGGTGCAATTTTAAATATAATTTATTCTACTATCAATATAACAGCTTTATGTATTAATACTACACAACAAACATGCGATAATATAGTTAAACACTGGATAAATAACATTCAGGTGCATAATCAATCAAATAGTAAAAAGTATATACAAGTATTATTGTTATTAACACATACTCTATGAGCACATTAAAAATTATTATTATTATTACAATGTTACTCAAACACATATTACAGTATAGCTTGGCTATTTTATTACAATTATTAACAACATGTAATAGTCATAATTCAAGTGCTATATTAGACGAACCCCCGTCCAGATCGAGCGCCTGGAGGTTTTTCTTTAAGACATCCCAAAATCAATTGGACGGGTATACCAATTGTGGCGGTTTTGATGTATGTTTTACTGGTCCTATGAACATTTATAATCATAATTAATTTTATATAAAAGATTTATTAAAATCTAAAACATACATTTTAATAATATTTAAAAATAATTTTAAACTTTATATTACAAGTTGTTTGTATTATAGTAATTGTAATATATTTGGTAATATATACCTGCACATTTCAATAGACCCAGTGGAATATAAATCAGGGTAAATGTGGTGTATGTGGCGACCCCTATAACGCCCGGGTACGTGACAACGAGTTACCAAACGGTAAATACACCAAAAACCTAATGATCACCCGTACCTACAAAACTGGTTCCACCATCTACGTCAAAGTACATGTGATTAAAAACAACCAAGGTCACTTTGAATTTCGTTTATGTAAAGCACTCGACCTATTGAGGAATGACACTTCAGAATCACATACCGGTGCAAAAGAGGTGACTCAACAGTGCCTGAACCAGAATATACTTGAAGTAATGGGTTCATCAGATAAGCACCGGTGGGTTATTCCCACTAAAGATAATGACGTTATTTATGCAATTCGTGTGAAACTGCCGGTTGGGTTGACGTGCGATCGGTGTGTGTTTCAGTGGACATGGATTACCTGCGATCACGGGTCAGGCAGTCGACAGAATACTCATAAAGCCTGTGCCGATGTTATGATTATTTAATAAATTATAATTTAGACATTAATAATGATTATTAATAAAAACAATTATAAGAAAATAATTATATATTTTAAGGTAAAAGTTTATAAAATTTTAAAATTATTATCCATTGATTAGAAATAAAATAATATTAATGGATATAATTAAGTAATAGTAATTTAATTCTTATAAAATTCAAATGTGTTAATTAAATGCATTTTATCATAGTCATTGTAATGTCCATTATTTGCATGCTCATTTCTAATACACAAAATTTTCAGTTCAAGGCATTTATACAAATAAAATCATAGACATACAATGATTTTATGTTTTATTAAAGCAAATTCATAAGGAGTACATAATTTGACCCGGATATATACAAGAATTGGTAGAACTCCCAGTTATCCATTGGAAACAAGTCATAGCAATAGAAACCAATTGAGGGTCCGGACAGTCGCTCAATAAATGCATGGATTTTGAGTTTATATTTTGTAGGAATTTTAGGGGTCTTTGCCTGATATTCATATACTAGTGCTTGAGGTTTATGAGCAGCTTTTGTGATCCAGGTGCTCATTATATTCATGAATACAGTGGAGACAAAGCAAACAAATACGAGAAATGCAAAGAATATTCTGGTATATAGTTTAGTGTCCTTGTGGTGCATGGCGTAGAGGCATATTAGGAATCCCGGTGTTGTTATGTAGTATATAATAAATGTGATCCAGCTAAAAAACGTGTTAAACTCTTTGGTTAACTTAATGTAAACATTATGCTCACGAATAGCTCTCATAAGCAGGGTATTATCCATCAACTTAATACTAGTTTGTATTGATGTATCGATTTCAGTGAACTTGTATTTGATATACAGTGAGACAATGAACCACATGCTAAACCCACACCAGAGTATACTGAATGATTGCAATAGCATTATTTGCATGATAAATGTTCCTAGTATCAAACTAATTATAGGTATATCTGATTGTGGGTCCATCAATACTAATACAGTACCGCAAACAACTAATAACGTGGTCACAAATAGTGATAATAGTATTAATTGATTCAAGAAATACTTAACAAGCACATTAACTTTGCGTGTCCATCGTTTCGAATTTGTAGCTCTCAATGGGTATGAATTTAGTTTGTTTTTAATGATATATAGCTGTGAAAGGAGTGGAAAGGTATGCGTCAGCTCCTGGTATATACAGACACATCCGATACACAATATTCCCAATGAAAAAGCACTGATTAGTAAATCAGTGAGCACCGGGTTAGCCAACTCCAGGGTCCAGTCACTAACCAAGTTATGAAACCATCGCTATTAACAAATATTATGATAAATAAATTTTATTCGTATAAATGTAAATTAATCAAGATGTAATACACATCTAGTTTATTTGTTACCTTGTTAATTCGTGCTGATAGTGCAAATCTGACGCAGTTTAGCAAGACAATTACTCTTGTTAATATGACAATAATTAACCGTTTCTTAATTAAATACTCTTAAATTTGAGATAAAAATTGTTAATAATTGTTAAGAAAACATTTTATATAAACATAAGTTTAGTGAACATACCTGACATATACTCATCAATATTTCTATGGATTACAACATAATAGTAACAGGCTATTTGGACAACTCTATCAATACTATCACCAACCAGCTTATAAGTGGGTTTTAGCTTGGTTAACTCATTGGAAAATTGTTTTGTAGCCATTTTGATTTAGAATATTATTATTTTCAAATAGAAATTAGAAATAAAATACTTTACAACAAGTTTTATTTTCAAATATAAATGTAGTGCATACAGTGGAATACTTAGAAAATAATATAATTTATTATTATGTTTACTTATATTTTAAATAAAATTTTTGTTTAACAATAAATTAAAGATCTTAAAACTGTGAATTAATCAAGCTGTCAATTTTATTATTATAATGCAATTATCGATTAATACATTTCATAATACCTAATTTTAGATTATAATACTATAATAATACTCATTATACAGTTAAAATGATATTAATTGTCATAAATTATACGCTGGAAATTGGTGGACTTATAATTTAATGCATTTATTACATTCAAATACCTTATAAATACTTTTTCTCTTAAAGTCATACTTGATAAATAATTTAACATATAATTTTTAGTGAACTCATAAATTTTAAAATAAGTGTGTTGTCACTTTTATTATTATAATGCAATTATTGATTAATTAACATTTCATAATTTTATAATATTTTATTTTATTAATAATACTCAATACACTGTTATAATGATATTAAGTGCAATAAGTCATACAATATTATTTAATGGATTTTATAATGTATGGATATATTGTTTACTATTTATTTTTAAAATAATATTACCATACTGTGATAATGTCATACTAGATAAATGATTTAAAGTAAATTTATTTTAATCAATAAATCCTAAAGTAAAATTATTTTGCAATATAACTTTTTATGATATAATAATATACATACATTAATGATACAATGATATAGCATATTATATAATTATTATAAAATTTATTGTAAAAAACTTTTAATCTTTAAGCTAACCAGTAACATTAATGCTAATTATTATATAATTTTAAATAATGTTATATATTTTTTATTAAACAATATTTAACAATTTATAAAATATTGCAGATTATTAATGCAAAGGTTTCACAGAATTACAAGTCAGACAAATAAATTATGAAAATATTGTTAACATTTACAGTAATTATAATATATTATATATTATATATATTAGGGCTTTATACAAATATTTATATTTAGTGATTAGAAAATAAATAATATTTCTGGATATTAATTTCATATATAAATATGATACTCGAAATAAATAACCCTATAATTAAACATGCAATAGAATTCTTATTGAATTCATAAATGTTAATTGAATTCATTTTATCATAATCATGGTAATGTCCATTATTTGCATGTTTATTTCTCATACGCAAAATATTCGTTTGCATTACATGGTATTTATACAAACCATTTTCCAACACAACATTTAGCCTGGTAAAATAAATACAATTAATAAAATGATACAGAAAATTAGATAAACTAATTGCACATACATTTGATGTAATTTTTTAGAAAATGGGTGATAATTAGCCACAATATGTCCGACCTGTTTTGGCATATATTTGTGCTTGGAAATTGCAAAATATTTACCAAAATGACTATAATATTGTTCATATTGTCGGGCGTATAGTGTTGCCAACAATATTACAGATTTGCCCTCAATCATATCTCTAAATAATGCCTCATTAAATAAATTTTCATTTGATTCAAATGTAAAATTATAATGAGCTTGATATTTTTGTTGTTTTTCCGAAATAATTTTTAAATTAATTTGGTGCCATAAATGCCAAATAATATTCGGTCTAGCAGCAACAAGGACATTTTTATCATTGTTTATATCATCAAATGAATTAAATATAGGCACGTATTCTTGTTTAAAGTAGCTAGTTAATAATAAGCCATTAAACGACCTACATATTACTATTGTAATTAATAACCATATTACTAATATAGCTATTAAAATATATTTTTTAAATTTCATGATTTTACATTTAATAACATGGTCAGTATGTCTTAATAAATTCATTGGTTGCTGTAATACGTAACCAATTAACATAAACAAGGTAGAATTGAAGCTTATGAAACTATTTGTACTTATCATAATTAATATGGCTACTATCATGGTTGCAGTTATTAAGCTAATCCAAACCTATAAATAAATTTTAGTATTTTAAACAATCATTTATATAATACTTTTAAAATTTTAAATTTTACCGGAGTTTCAAATAAAAAATAAAACGAAAAATACGACCCCTTTTGCAGTAGTTTTGTGGCCGTGATCATTTCAAACATATAAACTTGCTGGGTGAATGTTGGCAAACCATTGTTGATGCTGTAATCAAATAGTGATTCGTGTAACGACATACCCTTTCAATAAAATGTGACAAAACATATACAATATTATTTAATTTTACTATTGCAATATTATATATTTACTACAATTGTTTTTAATAAAAGTTAAATTATTTTTATTGCCTTACGTTTAAAAATGGGTGATTATTAAACTGCACGTATAATCTCAATTGACATAACATGTATTGCACCAATGACAGTCGATATCCGTATAATATGTCCTAAAAATAACAAATTATTAATCATTATGTATAATCATGAAAAGACATACATCTTGATAACTTATGGTAATCACTCCAGTATTAGTAACATTATGATTGCATGTATAATTAACTGCCCGAGTAAAGTTAGTATATTTTACAAATTGAAACATGTATGATATTTCAAATTTTAATGGATTTGACATTTTTAATGCTAATTTTAAATTAGCTTTGTTTTACAAAATGCAACAACAATTTATATATATATACTGTATAATATACAAATAAATTATACTTTACAAGTGCAAAATGTATTTTACTAATGTTTTTGTTTATATCAAGAATTTACTAATGAAGTACTATTATTTCATTAATTAATAATTATAGTACATTGTGTTATGTATTATTAATGACACTATTGTAATTAAGATAATGACTTTTAAGGTCATTTAATGTTTTATCTATAATTCATTGATTAATTAATTGTTTTACACCAGGCGTAGTTCAAAATGTATATATGAATTTATGAATATGTCAATCAGTTGCGAAATAGTTTGTTTTTAACCATAACTGAAATATGTATTAAAATTAAGTCCCAAAATTATTTTATATCATACATTACTAGAAGCAAATTGATAGGCATAAAGTACTTTATATTTAAATGAGCTTGACATATTAAAAAATAACTAAATTAAATATGTAAATATAGAAAGTTGAATATTTATTAAAATATGTAAGGTATCACAATTAATATAAAATGGTCAAATATATTTTCATTAGTTCTTTCTAAATAAAAGTACTATTATTTTCTTAAATGTAACACAAAATAGTTTATACAGGTATTAGACATTTTATGATGTTTTATTGGTTAATATC